CCGGGCAGTGTTTTGTTCTGTTGTACACAGGGTCACTATGAGTCAGAACCGACTCCACGGCACCTAACAAGAAGCCACGTGAGGAATATTTAGTGATACTCACAATATAAAGTTAAGTGAAAAAAATAATGTACAAAAGTATATACGACCCCAGTTTTATAAAATATACACACATCTGTGCATGTCTAACACACATATACACATGTGCATACACTCACAAACACATACACACTCCCAGGAGAAAGGGCAAGAAAAATACCTTCAACGTTTTAGTAACAAATATCTCTGGGGTGGGATGTTTGTTTTCATCTTTCTACCTTTATTTTCCAAGTGTTTTAAAATGCGGTATCTCTTACTTTCATATTCATTGGGGAGAAACATTATTTTTAACAAAGTTAAAACTCCGAAAAGGTTTTTAATTCTCTAGAAAGATATGTAAGAAACAGATAATAGTGGCTGCCTCTGGGATGGGTAATAGACTTTGCAGGAATTTTTTTTTTTTAAATCACAAACAAATGATACTTTCACAAAAGAATTATTGAGTTGTGCTTCCCTTCCTGTCCCTCATTTTTCAAATGTTGTGTGCCCGAGGGACCCTTCCCTGATGAACCAGCCCCCAATCCAGGTGACGTGTCCCCTTCTGTGGCCCCGGCACCTTGCACTTCCTGGCTTATGGTCCCCATGACACTGGACTGTCATTGTCCTTTTATTTGTCTCCCTGCCCCCTATTCAGAAGCTCCATAACAACAAGGACCAACTGGTCACCCTCGTAACTGCACCTCTAGCTCAGTTTCTGGCCCATAATACCAGTTACGATCCAGTCAACCCCAACTTACGGCCACCCCAGGTGTGTCAGTGTAGAACTGTGTTCCATAGGGCTTTCAATGGCTGAGTTTTTGCAAGTAGATAGCCAGGCCTTTCTTCCAAGGCGCCTCTGGGTAGACTAGAACCTCCAAATCCAGCCAAGCAAGTTAACTGTTTGTACCACTCAAGGACTCTGGCCCATAATAAGTGACCCGTAAATACTGTGAAATAACAGAAGTGTGGTTACTTCTTTTGTTTCCACGCCTCCTGCACCCTCAGACTTCACAGCTCGTCCTGGCTCTGCTTCCCCTTGCATCTCTCTGCACACGATTCTGACAGGATAAGGAAGAGGGGACAGAACTCCCACCCCATCCCCATTGCTCTGGGGGGGAGGGGATGCTCATACTGCTCCCAGGCCTCTCACCTGTACACCTGATGCCAACAGCTGTTTCTGTCATCGAGAAGCCCACAGGGCACACTCGGGCCACCTCCTGACAGCCGCCATGGTTACAGGTAAGGTCACAGCCGTACTCCCCGCAGGGTCCATGGGCTTCTAAAACGGGTATCGCACCCATGAGCAGACACCACACTGCAGTCCCCGCCTCCCCCACCTCACCGGGGCTCCTTCTGAATTCTGCCGGGAGGGTGGCTCTGGAGGCAAACAGATCAGAGTGTAAATGCAGCTCTGCCACTTACTAAGCTGTGCGACCCTGGGCAAGTCACTAACTTCTGCGTCTTGGTTTCCTCATCTATAAAATGGGAATGATAAGTTCTATCTAACAGGGTCATTGCAACATGATATGATCAAACACACCTTAAATGCTCAGTGCCTGGCACAAATCTCAATCAGTGTTAATACCACATTCCCGTCAGCCCTTGGCTGTCCTGTTACCTGGGCAGGTGGCCCCTTGCTCTCCATCCTGGCAGGAGCAGACGTTGGGTGCGATGCAGATGCCACTCCCACAGCCAAAGGAGCAGAGGGCTGAGAGGAGAAATGCAGGTGAGGGTGTGGGAGCGGCCCCAGACCAGCCTGGAAATGCACCCTGCTGGTGGAGGAGGCTGGGGGCAGAGGGACAGGCACTTACGCAAGGTGCAATGCCCACTGCCCATGGAAGGCGCCCAGCCAGGACAGCAGCCACTCCCGAACCCCGAGAGGCAGACGTGGGGACCCAGCCGGCGTCTGCAAGAGAGGAGAGAGCACTTTCCACATTCTGTACTGGGGCAGGGATTAGTCAGCAAGGCAGTGAACGCCTCCAACTGGTCAGAAAGTCAATCAACAACCTGTTCTTGAGACCTCCTAGAGGAGCAATGGGAAGTGTCCAAAGAAAGATGACCCAGACAACCTCTCCTGGGAGGCAGGACAAACACAAAGGTTTGAGAGAACAGACACCAGCCTCCAAAGTTGCTGACACATGATTACAGAGCAAAGAGCGGCTAGGAGAAGAGCCTTAGAGCTGAAGAGCCCCAGAGACATCCCAGCTGCCTCAGGGCCTTTGCACTTGCAGTTCTCTCTCAGGAAGGCCTGTCCCCAGACATGCACCTGGCTCATTCCCTCACTTCACCCGGGTCTCCAATGTCACCTTCTCAGAGGGACCTTTCTTGTCCACTCTTATCATGCTTTATTCTTCTTCATAACACTTACTTCTTGAGACATTCAATTGCTTATTTATTTATGGATCTGTTCATATTCTGGGTTCCCTCCCACCTCTCGTGAACAGGGCTTTATCTTACTTATTCACCCCAGCACCTTGAGTGGTGCCTGACACATAGGAAGTGCTCGATGAATGGCTGGTGAGGGAAAGGTTGAGAAGGGAGGAGGAAGGAGGGTACCTTGGAGGGCACTGGCGTAGGTGACATCCCTGCGATGGGGGTCATCAAGCTGCCCAAAGCTGGAGGGAAAAGGGTCCACTCAACCAGGACACAGGGCCCACAGCTGGGAGACCGAAGCCAGTGTCCAGAAAGCCAGACGTGTCTAACTGTGCACCTAATGTTGGGCAAGGCACAGCGGAGCAGCCATGAATAAGCTGCTGTCTCTACCTTCAAGGGACGCTGGGCAGACAAGGAACCAGATGATAAAACAGTGTGACAGCTGCCACAAAGGAATGGCCTATGGAGCCCCACGGAGGGTCAGGGAAGGTTTCATGGAAAAGCAGCTTGTATGCAGAGTGGAGGCAGCAGGGGGGAGGGGAGGAAGAGAGCAGTGGTTCCTGGCAGAGGGAATGGCATGTGCAAAGGCCCAGAGGGGAAGAGAGGCCGTGACTGTAACCAGCTCTGGTGATGGGCTGGGCAGAGCATGATGAAGTCACTGGTTTGAACTGAGAATCCTAGTATAGCAGAATAGGGTCTAGAAAACCCTCCCCAACTGGGATCCACCCGTGTTCAGAGGTTGATGGGAATATCATTCCACCAGTCAGTTCATGAAGCACCCACTCTGTGCCGGGTGCTGAGCCAGGTGCTGGGGACATGGATGGACAAGGGAGACTTGCCTCTGCTCTTGAGAGAAAAATCTGGTGGGGGAGGTGGATACTGCGAAGGTAATTTCAACTGTGACAAGAATTCCAGAAAGGGAAGCTCAGGTCACCACGGCAGGACAGAGAAGTCTACGGAAAACTGTCCCTGGGCCTCGAGAGGTACTTTTTCCCTCTCTGCAGCCATCACAGAAGAGAGGCCCTCCTGGGCCGTGGGCATGTCACACCCCTTTCTGGAGTTACTGTGGCAGCAGCCTGGGAGGGAGGGGCCACAGCTCCTGCTCCTCAGACACGCTGTGCCTCTGAAAGGGGCAGGCGGTGCCACCAAAGCAGCAGACGGACAGATGCTCCGGGAGGCTGGTGGAGCCGAACCCCAAGTGGGTAGGGCCCGAGCACCCGCCAGAGCGCCCCAAGGAGCCACCCTGAGCTGGCAGTGACGGAGACAGGTGGCTGGACGTCTCTGAGACGCCGCGGAGCCCCAGCCGGGATCTGACCAGGAACTGGCAGGGGTTGCGGAATACACGTGCGAGCTGCGAGCCCGGCGGGACCGCCCCCGCTGCGCGTCCCCGGAGGAGCGTGGCCGCCGGCCAGGCCGCCCGCTGACAGCGTGTTCCCTGGCTAGGAGCATCACGCACACACGCGGCGGCCGGCCTCCCGCCCCGGAGAGGGAGCACGTGGGGAAGGCGGCGCGGGGCACCCCAACCCTGCGCGCGCCCGCACAGGCGGAAACCAAACAAGCCGGAGGGCCCCGCGGTTCCAAGGTCTGCGGCGTGCGTGGGGCCAGGGCACAGGGAAGCCCCCAGCCCCAGAGCGGCCGGCGCGGCCGGGGAGGCCGGGCACTGCCCTGCAGAGCAAGCGACACGGTCGGGAGTAAAAGCCAGCCAGTCCGGAGACCAGGTGGCACGCCCGGGCTCTCGCGTCAGGGATTCGCGCTCCAGGGGCAGGCTGAGACGTGCACACCCGGAGCCTGCCTCAGTCTCGTTCCCACCCCTGTCTTGGACCCCCCAGATCGCAGCCAGGGGCGCGGAACGGGTACCCGCCCAGGGGCGCAAGTTGCTGTGTCTTTGTCCGGCCCCCCGGGCTGCGCCCGCGCGCCGGCGCCCCAAACGGGGGACAAGACCGCAACTGCGGCGGCTCCGGGGCGCCCTCCGCATGCCGGTGGCTCTCCGGCGGCGCTGGGCTGGGGCGCGGCGCTTACCTCTCGGCGGTGAAGTGCCCAGGCGCCTTCCTCCGAGTGTAGCCCCGGCCCGAGGCCCCCGGCAGCAGGAGCGCGGCGCAGGCGGCCCGGAGCAGCAGTCCGGCCCACATGACCGGCGGCGGCGGGTCCCCGGCTCCGCTCGGCTCCAGCGCCGCGCGGGGGAGGGGGCTGCCGGCCTCGCCCCTCCTCCCCGCGTCGCGGGGAGCGAACCAGCGAGCCCCGAGCTGGCACGCGGAGCCGAGCGGCGGGGCTGAGGACGCCGAGGAGGAGGGGCCGGGGGCCGCGAGGGGACGCGGCGAGCGGCCGGGGGTCTCCGGCACCTCAGAGCGAGACACACAAAAGGCAGAGCCGCTCGCCCGCCCGCCCGACGGTGGCCTCTCCGGTAGGCGCGGAGCCCGAGACGGGGGCAAAGATCAGAGACCCTTGGGGGCGGGGTTTCGCCCTCCGCCCACACCCCCTGCCCGGGTTTAGGAGTTCGGCTTCCTGCGAAGGGCTGTGGGCGTCAGACCCAGGAGGCCCTGGGAGGAAAGAGACTTCGGGGAACAAGGCTGGCGCCAGAGACTGCGCGCCCTGGTATTGCCGGTCTCGTGGGAGCCTGAGATGCCTCTGCTGTCACGAGAAGGTGAGAAGCATGGAAATGCAAACCTAGGACACTGGGTCGTTGCACCCTGGGCAGTTCTAGGCCGGACCCCTCAGCCTGCCAGCAGGTCCTCGCTTTAACTCCTGGGAGCGCGGAGCGGAGGGAGGATCCACCCGCTGCCTGGCAGGGGAGACACGGGTTCCTCTGGGCACCCAGGGGGCAGATGGTGTCTCCCCAGCTACTGGATGGGGGGTAGGGGGACGGGGGGATGAGGGTGGAGCTGGGGCGGTTGGCAGTGGAAAGACAGAAGCAGAACTGGAAGTCTCTTTTGCCCCCTTCTGCAACTGCCCCAGGCCACACGGAGACTAGAAGCCAGCGGAGAGATAAAGGCAGGGAAGTGGTGAGCGGGGATGGGGAGGGTGGGGGTGGATGGAAGTCAGAAACATTCAGCTGGGAAAAGGTTGAAAGGATGTCTGAATTTTACCTTATGTTCTGTGCGGGAATCTTCCCTAGCCACCCAGCCCCACTTAGTCAAGCTTTACTTAAACACTTCCAGGGATAAGGAGCTCATTACCTGTCAAAAGGCAGCCCAGTTCAGTTTTGAATAACTACATTTGTTAAAAAGTGTTTTTTCTTTCCAGCTTTTAAAAAAAACAAACCTAGTTCCTTTGGTTCTTCCTCTACAGTTGCCCTCTGCTGGCCTGTCACAGAGGTCCTTAACAGTGGCAGCCACAAATAAACATGGTGTACCAAAAGTGGCCTGGACTCTCTCCTCCTTCCTTCCAGACACCATACTTTTATTAATGCAGCCTAATATTACTTTTTTTTTTTTTTTTTTGGCAACCCCACAATCCTGTTAGGTCATAACACAAGAGTTTGCAGCCAAAGGAAACCTCAAGTGTCTTTGGTGGTTGTTATATTTTTATGTAGTTTTTGGAACACAGGCTGCTAAGTTGATCTCCCTACCTGAATCTGTGATTGCGTTTTTGCAGATGTTCACATTTAAGCCTGTTAGCTCACCTGGTTAGTTTTTTTTTCCTCAGAGTGTCCTTTTTCTTTTTTTTAAAATCGTGCTTTAGGTGAAAGTTCACAGCTCAAGTTAATTTCTCATTCAAAAATGTCACGTTTTGTGACATTAGTTGCAATCCCCACAATGTGACAGCACACGCCCCCTTTCCACCCCAGATTCCCTGTGTCCATTCGACCAGTTCCCGTCCCTTCCTGCCTTCTTATCCTGCTTTTTTGGACAGCAGCTGCCCATTTGGTCTCGTATCTGATAGAACTAAGAAGCAGATTCCTCACGGGTATTATTTTTTGTTTTATAGTCCTGTCTAATCTCTGTCCACGAGTGGGCTTTGGGACTGGTTTCGGTTCTGGGTCAGAGCATCCAGGGGCCATAGCTTCAGGTCACCTTGTTATTTTTGACCCATTTTCTAATCTTGTCAATAAATTTTCAGCAAAATAGGTTGCCAAAATGTTCTGTGCCTTAAGATGAATGAAAATGAAACTTTCACATTTGAGTCTGAGTCCTAAGGACCCTTAGAATCTGAGGCCATCTTTCCTTCTTGCCTGGAACATCCAAAGACTGCACTACCCACCGCCCACACTGCATTCCTCACCACGACTTGCTTCAAGGGTTTCAGCGTCTACCTTGATTGCGGAAACATACTCAGAATGTCCCTGGAAGTCTAGCCCTGACTTGTTCAGCAATAAACAGCAAGTCCTTCACTTGGGCTGTCCAAATCTATCGCACCACTGCCCTTCTTATTCCTACATAAGACTCGATGTCAAAGAGGTGCTCCTCCTTCCTGGCCCCAGGAGCTACCTACAAATTCCCAAGACATTTACACAGGACGAAACTTTCCTTTTACACACCTGTCATCCCTCTGGCCACCTTCTCTGACACTGCAGCCCACCTCAGCTACCTCCGTTCTCAACGCTACCACCTGTCTATGCCCCGACCCTAGAAAGCTCATTCTGTCTCTCCACTGGCCAGTGAGCAGCTGGAATAGCTTAGATGCAACTTTATGCTTAAAGAAAATCCACATCTACCCTAAGGAGGAACTTGGGATACTTAAGATGTAGTAAATTCCTACTGGTGAATCTCCAATTTCTCAACAGCCCCTAGCCTTTCTTTCATTTCCTCACAACCCTATAGCATTCACCTTGTTCCTTGTATCGACTTTAAAGAATTGGCTTTCATTTGGTTCCATTTGGTTCTAGCTATTTTCTTTGTCTTTTGTTTGACCCCAAGGCTTCTCAGCATCTCTGACTTACTATTCTGTTCATCAAGGAGTGATCTGGGCACACCCCCTAACTGAAGCTCCTCCGTGCTTCCTCCCCACTCCTGTGGCTTGTGGCTGCTCGGTAACAAAGGGACCCTCCACCAAGGGCGGAGGATCCAAGTTGTTGTTGGCTGCAGAAAAAGTGCCTCTGGCTTGTGACCCTTTCCAAGTGGTCATGGGATGAGTCAGGGTTTCTATTCTTTTCCCAAAGGTCTGTTCGTGCAGAGGCCTGGAGTGAGGCGACCTCATCAGCCGACATGGAAAGGAGCCATTCCAGCTGGCTAGAGCAGAGCTCCAGAGACAACCTTTCACCCCTGGAGAGGTGATTAATGGTTTTTAAGAGGGGACGTGGGAGTGTGGCTGCAGAATGTGTTTCTAAAGGGTTGCTGGAAATTCAGTCCTGAGTGAGTAGGCCCAAGACTGGAGTAACAAAAAACAGCATAAAATTGCAAGGACTCCACAGCTTCCAGTTAGGACTAGAGCCACTGATAAGTAAGAACTCTCTCTCTACTCAGTGTAGCAGGTCCTGCTGGCTGAGTGCCAAACCATTAGAGAGCACCCAGCTAATCCTCCCACCAGTCTCTTCCTGATCTTGGCATCTCACAGTCAGGCCTCCCATCTAGGATTAAATTCTTAAAATAATCACAATCTGGAGACTCTTGCCTGCCTGCCTGCCTCATTAAAGCTGGTCTCTGGCATGGGGGCAGGCCTTTTCAAATTCAAACCATAACTTTAAAGAATTCAAATCACAGTGTTGAGTTTCAAGTTCAAACAGTGGTTTGCGAGATGCTGATTATTTTTTTCTCTTAAGACCCTTATCCCCCACCCTCAGAAATCCCAGGAGAGTCAGGGGAAAAGAAAGATAATGAAACACGAGGAATGTCTCCAAGGAAGGAAACTTACTCCAGAAGACCTCCAAAGCAGAGATGCGCCCTGCTACCTTTCCTTTTAAGCTAGAATCCCTCAAAACCACAGTTTGAACTTGAAACCACAATTTTCCTGACACTGTATCAAGGGCTGGTCTTAAAAGAGCCAGTCACTATGCCTAGGATCAGCCCTACTCCACCGTTGGGACAGAGCAGCCTTTATCCCCAGTGGATCACTGGTGGAAATGTAGCCCCACACACTCTGACCCACTGAGCTGAAAGAAGACGTGGTTTACAACAGAGAGAAGAGTACTCCAGTGCTTTCAAACCAAAAGCACCAAAGGTTCCCCTCATTAGACCACAGGAAATAAAATGAGAAGCCAAAGGGCACGTGGCCACGGGAGGCAGGGAGGTACATGAGCGGCCACTTGACTGTAGCCAAGGAGCAATGCCTGGGGGGCTAGCTGGCTGGCTGACGCAAGCACATCTGGCTGTGAGATGAAGTCAGGAAAGGCAGCCCGAGCAACGCCCAGGCCAACAGCAGAGGCAACTGGGAATCCAGTGGTGACCCCTGGAGTCAGGGGCAACCAAGGAGATCCACTGAATTTCCAAAATCTGACACCCATCATTCTTGAGAGTGCACCAAAAACAATCACATGGCAAAGAAGAGTACTGATGTCACTTCACTACTTGCGAGTTCTTCTAGCAGCAAGGACAAGTGATTGCGGCAGCTGCCATAAAGGAGGGAAACAAGAGTTTGCAGTTAATTGGACACAGTATGACTGGGACGCTGGACAGCAGGGGAAATAAAAGCACAAATAGCTCTTTCTTCTTAGATTCTACTTTATTTGATAAAACTCAGAGACTAACAACCAATTCACATCCCCCCACCTGCTTTTCTCTGAAGGCAGTTCCCCAGAGATAAAAGGGCTGTGGCTTGGGGAATCATCCACCATCTCCAGGTTTTAGGCTCAGGCAGCCCCTGGCCTGATGGTCATGCCTCCAGACTCCAAAGCTCTCGGAGGCAATAGAGTAAAAGGAAGCAAGCTCTCACTTCAAAGACAACAAACCCTCCCACCCCTCTTGCCCTACCTGTAACCTCCCCACACTCCCAACCTAAATGAAAAGATAGCAGAGGACAACGCATGAGTGAGAAAGAGAGTAACACACAGCTTCCTTTCAGCCAAAGAGCTGCAAATTCCTCCCTGGAAGGAGGAACACTGGCCAATAACAATCAAGGCTTGGTGGTCCAAGGTGATGGTTGAATCATGTGAGACTGGTGAAAATCCAGGAAGAAAACATTTCACCTTCAGCCCATTCCATGGTCTCTAGTGAGCTGGTTTTAGTTCTAAGAAATCCCACTTCCACACAGGTGAACT